TTTTAGCCGTAGGCTAGTTCATCTCCGAATCCGTAGCTGTAAAAGAAGCATCAATCGAGAAATAAGTTGAACTACAGTATGGCTACTCAAAATTGAGTAGGGGCACTTTTACTAACTTTTGAGTATGCAATAATTTCGACGTTTCTTAGAGCGTTTGCTCCGAAACGGCTGGCTAACTGAGTAGCTTTTACTCAGTTGGATATTTCTCGTTTACTCATATTTTGACAACCTAATGCAGTGGCTCCCAACCTTTTTGCTACCGCGGCTTATTTTGAAATTTTCTGAAAAAGCCGCGGCGCACCAATATTAAATAGAAAAGGAGGGCGGATTTCTTTATAAAGAATGAAGTTTTTTTTGTTTTAATTTAATATACTTTTCCTACAATTTTACAAGCTTTTTGATCACCAAAAACGTAAGGCAAATTTCCAATTTTAAAATTGAAAATTCTGATGTGAGTTACGTTTGACAGATGTTTACATTTTTATCACCGCTACGACAACAGTGCCACGGGTGGCCGGTGGTTGGTTGGATTTCACTATTGCAGGGGGAGAGATTTGATACCACTTTATAACTTTAGAAATGTCACTTTTAACCTCGAGTTAAATTTAACTCGGCAAATGGTTCACAGCCTAAATTTAACTCGTGGTTGAAAGTGACATTTTGGAAGTTATTTTATATGTTCTAAAATCCCCGTGCTGTCGATCGACCGGTTTTCGAGCCACGGTTGTCAACATTTAACTTATAGTCTGTCAGAAATAACAATGCTCGGATAGCAGGGTTAATTGATAACTTTCCATCTGTCAAATTTTAACCAAAAGTTAAAAAAAATCTCTAAATGGTTCAGAGCCTCAGCGTGTGCGCAGCTATAGCAAAACAAAATTTTTCCTGCATTGAAGATAGAGTTATCCCCCTCGTTCTCGTACTAGAATCTGTATTTGTTTTGATTAGCCTTTGTTTCAGGCGACTGGTTTGGACTCACGCCGACAGTTCGCTCACCTGAAGACGGAACGGAATCTTCTTCACACGCTTGGTCTTGAACTCTTGGACACAGTTTCTTATAAAACTGTGTAGAGGAATCAAACACACAGTCAAATTAACGGGGTAACAAATTTTTTATTGGTCTTCAATTAACAATGGTTGTTAGGAGAATGAAAATTTTCTCCGATCTCGCTTCATGACTTACTGATCTCCAACAGCCTTATAAATTTGACAAAGTTTAATGAGGGATTCATGGATTTTCCTACGATTCGAGGGGTGCTTAAATTAGCTTCGGACCGACGGTCTACAACTTTCTGAGCATGTTTCTTCGGGACCCTCTGGTTTTATTGCTTCAACCCTCCAAACACTCCGAAATTGCAACCGATTTAAAAAATATTTTACCATCATGAACCGGGTGCTTTGCACCAATCCAGCGTGCTAGAATTCAAGAAACATGGGTGAATGCACCCCGGATTAAGCCTCTCGATGCGAGTTTTCATAGCATTTCCGTTTTTAGTTAATAAATTTGACAAGTCATAATATTAGTTTAGTATTTAAACTAGCATTTTGGTACAAAAAATCACGGAATTAAGAGTGGAACAGCTATGAAAAACCACATCTGGCGTTTTGCCCGGGGTGCAAAATTTTATCATGGAGTGAGATTTTTGAAAAATTAGCTATGTCAGCTTTGTTTCTAAAGTTGTTGCTGATGATAGCCGATAAGATGTGCTTTCAGTTGAGTTGAATGAAAGGAGATTTTGTAAGCTACCCTTCAAAAATTCAAAAAAGCATTTCTTGCGAGAATTAGGAATACTTTCGGACCTAAGTCCTGCAAGAATGGCTCATGTATTAGGAATCTTAGTATTTTGATTTATGGATCTTTCCCAGCTCTTACATTTTTTCACATAAACGCTTATGAAAAGTTGGTATGATCAGTAAAGATCTTATGTAGCACACTTGTCACAAATAGGCTGTAGAAACTTTTTAAGCCATGAAGAAGGTGGTGCTGTAACTTTTCGTGACAAAAGTGCTACTCGGCATGCGGAAAATTTTATAGGAAGCAACTTACACGGTAAGATGATAAAATACCTAATATTGACTACTAAGTAAGCATTTTCTAGGGAAACTGGGACAACCCATTAAATGAGTAATTTTTTTCCCATTTATGAGTAATTATAAGTACAAAAATAAGCAACAGTAAAATATTCGTGAGTAATAAATTGTCTTAAACGGGTATTTTTTTTTTATTCATTTAATGGGTAGTCCCAGTTTTCCTCGAAAATGCTTGCTCTGTAGCCATTATTGAGTCTTTTATAGTCATTATTGGGAATTTTGCGGTTACCGTGTAGATGAAGACACTAGAGCAGTTCCACGCCAACTAACAAGTTGTTAGATACATCCTTCATCTTTCGGCTCAATAGATCGTATGATGTTTAGTCGACAAATAGTACTTATTTTCAACGATACAATTTGTTACTCCACGTGGGGTAAAAGGCGCTCCCCAAATTGTAGTGTGGAAAGCAAAACCATCAGGCGTGAACCTTTGATATTTAAGAGAGAAAGAGTACAGGTAAAGCCTAAATGTATGCTTCCGTGGCATGAAACCAATATGCACATTTTGCCCCTCAATGTTGTGAAAACAGGTTGTTGTTGGCCTTCTCAATTTAATTAATCCTTGATTTTGTTTTCCGTGCTGAGCACCAAAGCTACCGACGCCAGGGAGGCAGCTCCCACACTTGGACCCTAGCTATCGACCCATCAACTTATGAACCGGGGACCAACGGCTTTACTTCCCTTCCGAAGGAAGGCGTGATCAGAGATGTTATGCCTCAGAACAACCCGGCGGCGCCGACTGGGATTGAACCCAGGCCTGCTGGGGTGAGAGGTAATCACGCTTACCACTACACCACCGGCGCCGCTGATCTTCTCAATTTCACCAATTTAATCAAGAATTTATCAATTTTTGTTAGGCATATCAATTGTAATATCTAGTCAATAGTCTAATGCAACAAATAGATAGTATTGCACTTAAATATCAATTCACTTTGTGGCTTAAACGGGGATCTTCCTTAGCATGGGCATTAGGGTGCAACATTTAAAAAAGATGAATTTCTGATAGGAACCCTGCAGTTCGTATCATTACCCCAAAATATGAACCTGTGAAAAAAATGGTAAAGATTGATGTAGGTTGCAGGGTCGTGCAAATGATTTGTAATTTGTATGGGAATTATTTTGGAAGAATTTCAAAAATCACGTATATAGCTCTAGCTTTGCTTCTACATGTCCAAATATTGAAATTAATACTTTGTTGCTATGCTTCTTCTTCGCATTTCAAGCTTATTGCTTATCGAATATTAGCTTATTGCGTGCGCTCAACTTACTGTTCTAGATGAACTTCCACAGTTAATAATTGAGAGCTTTCAATGCCTAAACCATTTTGCATTAGTATAATTGTGTGGCTAGTACAGTCCATACTCTATGCCCAGGAATCGAACCCATCCACCTACAGCATGATCTTTCTTTGTAGCTGCGACTTTACCGACTGTTCTAAGGGAGGTCCCTATGGCAATCACGAAAAAGTATTTTGTTGTTACGATCAGTCTTACAGCATATCAAGAAAGATAGAAATACGAAAAATGACGAAATATACGGTAAATTGACATGTAGAGGCCGCTGGTGTAGTGGTAAGCGAGATTGCCTATCACCCCAAAGGGCCTGGGTTCAATCCCAGTTGGCGCCGTCGGGATTTTCGAGGCATAAACTCTCTGATCACACCTTCCTTCGGAAGGCAAGTAAAGCCGTTGGTTCCCGGTCTATGAATTGATTGATCTTTAGGTAGGATCTAGCTGTGAAAGCTATTTTCCTCGCATCGCTAGCATTGGTACTCAGAACGAAATACAAGATCGACGGAAAACAAATCAAAGAAAATAAAAAATAAAATAAAAATATCAAAAATGTTAATTTCAACACAATAACAACCTGCTTGTAGACTATATTTCCATGACAACAAATAAGGAAGCAGGAAGTAGGAAGGTAGGAAATTCTTCCAACATGAGGATTGTAAGAAAACAGCAGATTTGCCATTAATATTGATGGAATATTTTACACGACTCGAATTCTAATGGGGAAATTCCAGTGCTTTGCTTCCTGGCTCAGCTTTGGCCTACCTATCGGGCGTCGTATCACAGACAAACAGAGCAGAGGTACACCTAAACACTCGCATATCATTCATCGTTCCATCTTCCCAGGACTATTTTGAATTGGAGTTTCTACTGGAATTCCAAAACACGAGCTCTTAGTGCCACCACCGGTGTATCACACTGTATCATTAGCAGCTTCCTCCTGCTTATCAATCACTACACACTTGTGCTGGTCAACGAAATGATTTCAAGCCTCTCATCAAGTCAAGAACATAAGTACACACAATCTTGGGGCGAAGGGGCGTTAGAGAGAGAGAGGAAACTGCCTTCCATGATTAAGCTCAATCGACAAAACAACTCATGTAGGTAGGTAGGTAGGTATGTAACTATACATACGTGAATGCCCCGATGTGTATACCCGCTGGTCACTCTCTGCTCTGCGTTGCGTTGACTTGTCGCTGATTTACCTTTTTCCGAGTCCTCGTCGAGCTTACGAGCCGCTTCAAACCAGCCGGGTCTGCTCAGTCCTAATCTAGTATTTACGGCGAGCGGTCGATTGTCGAATCCATCCCCAGTCCAACGTGGAGAACTCAGTACACATTTGGAAATCCGCCCGATCACTTCGGGTTCTGTGCGACTTAGACGAAACAAAAAGGAAGAATCGAAACAAACCCTGTGTGTTGGCGAATTTCTCATAGTGAAGGAAGTCTCGAGTGACTAGTTTTTGGCGGTTGGATTTTTGAATTAATTCGGTACTCTAAAAAGTGATTTTTTGTTTGTTGTTTTTGCCCTTGAACTACATTTCGCGCGCGCCAATCAGCCTGAACTCGGGTGCCTTGCTCCTTGCGCAACAAACCGTAGCTTAACCGGAGGCGGTCCAAGTGTGATCGTACGACTCACGCGAGATAGGCAGTGCTCCATTTGTTATCATCGATATAATTTGCTAAATCGTAGCATCAAGGACGTTGGAAAGTTGCTAGCATGGGTGACAAGGTTTATGTCAACGGTGTGTCTACTGCAATGAACGGCGACTGCAATGCAAATGGAACCACGCTGACCAACGGAACGACGACGATAACGAAGACGGTCGACCAGGATGAGAAAATTGCAGGCGTGTTCTACAATGCACGGGAAGAAGCATGGTGAGGATGATCAAATTTAATTGAATTGAATGGGTACGACGACGACGACGGTCGGATTCCCAAATGCAATCTTCAAACAAGTCCGGAATGATTTGAGATTTCTTTTGAAAACAAACGCTTCAATTTACGATTTCTCGCGAACAAAAGCTCAGCCTAGAAAATTAACACCAACAGGTAGATGAATAATTCATCTAGCATGTGGTTTAATTTGATCCCGAGATTGAGCTTTTATTCGCGAGAAATCGGCGATTTACGTGTTTATTTACCAAAGCAATTACTCCCAAATCTCGAAATTCTCCTAAAGCTTCGAGCTAAAATCTGTCCCAGTCTGTTTTTGTTCACCCCTGATAAGGTGGTGTAGCAGCGGCGTTCGATGAGTTGATATTACGTCAAGGGAAATTGCGACTCATGTGTCTCGTGCCATTGTGGGGTTATCAAAAATGGTGAGATTTTTTTAAACAAAATTAATTGCCAGCTTTGGAAGAACTGCGATGCCTTTGATGGTCATAACGTTTATGTTTACATTGCTGGTTTTTGCGACTCAGTTCTTTGAAGTCCTGGATGTTTGTACTGCATTGATTGTATTCAAAATTTTTGGAACATCCAAAGATTAAAGGATCTTTTACGGAAGGTAGGGATTCGGGTTGATGTGTTTTAAACTCTGATATGAATGGTAAATTCCAATTGATGATTCAAGAGTGCTGAAAACGGTCTACGTAGGTTATGAACAGGTCCTATAATTAATGTTCAATGAAGAATTCGAGCATTTAGAATCATAAGGGCTTAACTGCGATGATCGATTCTCTTCATCGGTTTTCTCTTCGCATTACCACAGTTAAGTGAACAAGTCGACAGTGAGCATGCGTAAATTGCTACAGCTGGGAATTTGGAATAACTTGGTTTCAAAATCTGACCATATTACTTCGTATTACAGTAAAAGATTCCTGCATGCAGTTTAATGATCACAAAAGTTAACAATGTTTTACCCATAGCAATTCTAACAATGCAACGATAATCCGGAACATATCCCATTTGCCGGTTTTGGACTTCAGCGCCTAGAAGTTATTTCTGCGGCTGAATATAAATAGGGAAATCAAATTATTACCACTTTCGGTTGTTTTTTAAGGAACTTTCAACATCATTTTAAATCCTATTTTTCTCAAGAATATTTTCAAAACACTTTCAACTTTATTCAAATATGTAATTACAACCACTTGGGGATTAACATGGGATTCATTTTTAGTTCGAACTTATAGTTATTGTATATATGTGCAGTAGAAATAATTAAAGTGATCGAAGAAGGCCGTGCTTATAAATTGACGTATTTTTGTTTTGGTGCGTGTTTTTTTTCTGGAAAAATTGAAGTTCCGGAGGACATAAGTTTTTTTTTCCAACCGGTGCTGACGCACAGCTAAGTTATATAAAAAAAAAATCAATTCAAGCATAACTTTTCAAAAGGACGTATATAACATTGGATAGGAAATTAGAAACATTGGATAGCAATGTCTATATGAGATAGTTAAATGCTATTTAAAAGTTAATGCTATTTTTTAAATCTGTTTGTGTTATTTGTTGGATAAAAGGATGCGTTTAAGAGAATTGTGAAAAATGTCGAGTTTTGCAAACACGGACAATACTTTTGATAAAATAAAATCATACACCTTTTACTTGTGTACTACTCACATACACCCTGATTGATTCGTCGGTATCACACCTTGATTGTTACATAAACCCTGCATGATTCGTCTATTTGACAGAAGGGTTTTCACATACGTCAAATCAGATACACCGGTTTTTGTTTTGCAGTGAAGATACGTCGGCAGCTCGAAAAGCATTGAGGAATTGTCGGTTGGTTGGTTTATTTATATAACTACCCAGAGTTGTGAAATAATCGATGTTAAAAGCGGAGATGAGAGGGTCACCGCATTATCTGCTGTCAGATGTTATACGTTTTCTGTTTTTCGTATTAAGAAAGCGCTGGTCAGATTGGTATGTGAAGTTCTATATTAAAGTCAAGATTAAAGTGAAATTTTATTAGAATACTTTTGAAATAATAAACATGTTGCTCCCGGAAATACAAAAACAAACATACAAACTTGACGCATTTGCTGATTGATAGTGGTTGCTTTGTTTTTTTTTTCACATACGACGCTTCACTGTGAGCGTATCTGCAGTTTTTGTGTTATCATCAAATTTAACAGTTAAGCCATGTTGACAATAAAAGGGTGTATCAACACCATTTTAAAAACAATGAAAGAAGGTCACATAGGGCGTTCATTAAATATATTTTCCATAATGCATTACAATTTCAAACCTTGTTTTTCATTAACTCGTAGGAAAAGCCTGTATTTTATATTCGGTTAGATGCAAAATATCGATTTGTTTATTTTTGCGACTTACGTCCTTTTGAAAAGTTATGCTTGAATTAACTGATGCTCATTAAATACGCGTCAATCAAAAAAAATTACAGTGAGCATGCATAAGGGCGTATACGCGATGATCGATTCTCTTCATCGGTTTTCTCTTCGCATTGCTACAGCTAAGCGAAACAATTTTCTAGAATTTGTTCAAGCGGCGCCGGTGGTGTAGTGGTAAGCGTGATCACCTCTCACCCCAGCTGGTTCTGGGTTCAATCCCAGTCGGCGCTGCCGGGATGTTCTGATCACGCCTTCCTTCGGAAGGGAAGTGAAGCCGTTGGTCCCGGTTTCAAGAGTTGATGGGTCGATAGGTAGGGTCCAGGTGTGGAAGCTACCTCCCTGGCGTCGGTTGCATTGGTGCTTAGCAAGGAAAACAAGATCGACGGAAAACAAATCAAGGAAAAAAATTAGAATTTGTTCAATCCAGTGCACAGTGGGCAAAAATTGACAAAACCGCGACTAAATTGAATATCTCGGCTGCCAAACGGTTTCAGTCAACATGTAATACATATTCTCAAAGAAAAAACTCTGCTGAATCGATTGGTGGTGGCCGGAGACTTTTGCGTACCGAGATAGAGGGCCGGGATAAACTCGAGTTCCCGGTAAAGTAGGAAATTCCACTATCTATCGACATAATTTTACACTTTACTTAACATATATTACTGGAAATTGATAGTACTAAGTATATATGGTGTAAAGACACCATATACGCCCTTAGAGAAACTATAATGGCCTAAAGGAGGATCTGGAACGACCGATAAAGTGGCCACATTATAAAAATTTACTAGAACCTTGCGATTTTTTCTATGTTGTTCAGAATCAAGAGATCAAAACGTATTTAATATGGAAACACAAGATAAAAGCGTTTTTAATATGGAATTTATAGTTTGGGATCAAACGACCATATCCTGGTCCTCCGAATATTCCGGGTAGACCGATAAAGCAGGTCGTATAATCGAAACCGTACAGAATTTGTCTACCGCACAAGTTGGGAAAAATTCTTTATTAAATTTGCTTTGATCTCATAATTCTGAACAAACATAGAAAAAATCGCATGCTTCTAGAACAATTTTTATAATGTGGCCACTTTATAAGTCGTTCCAGATTATCCGGAGAACCAGAATATGGCCACTATACCCAAAAATATATTTTCAATATTAAATACGCTTTGATCTCTTGATTCTGGACAAAATTGAAAAAATCGCATGGTTCTAGCACAGACAAACAGACATAACACTCGCAAGTTGTTCATCGAACAAGCATTTAACGGTCAATTTTAAAGTATCGTAGTTGGTAGTACCGCCACCTGTGGCGCGCATAGTCAATTCCCTTGCGTTTGACGTTTACACACTACCGCCATGTTCAGCGTACTACCCACCACAGTGTACTCAACAGATGGCGGTAATGTTTTTGCGACGATATTTTACAGTGAGAAATATTCAATGTGTTATGTCTGTTTGTCTGTGGTTCTAGGACATTTTTTTTTTATGTGGCCACTTTATCAGTCGTTTCGGATCCTTCTTTAGGCCAGTAGAGTTTCCCTAAGGGCGTTTATGGTGTCTTTACACCATATATACTTAGTACTATCAATTTACAGTAATATACGTTAAGTAAAGTGTAAAATTATGTCGATAGATAGTGGCATTTCCTACTTTACCGGGAACTCGGGTTGATCCCGGCCCTCTACCCAAGTAACCAACAAGCCCGCTAATTCGCCTTTTTGCAATATGAGGCTAATATGCGGCCAATATAAAGCTTAGCATGCCCTATGTTAGCCGTGCATCAGCCTTATATTGCAAAAAGGCGAATTAGCGGGCTTGTTGGTTACTTGGGTATCTCAATACACGATCACCACCAATCGATTCAGCAGAGTTTTTCCTTTGAGAATATGTAGGGGAATTTACGTATTCTCGGCCACCTAAGCAGCGACCTTCTTTCTATAGCCTTTTTCTCTATGGAACGCACACATATGCAGTATTGGTTTGTTTACAATCTTTTGCTGCCAGCTGCTCTAACAATTTCAGTCGAAAGAATTGTCAAAAACTGTTTTGAAACGCTTTTACAAAGCTCCAATCTTCTCTAGTGAGAGCGAGTATTGTCGGCAACCAGTTTTTCTTCGGCAACCGTTCCATTTGAACTGCATGTAAATCTGCTGTTCTATTATCGGCAACTCGAAATTAGCTACAATTTGTAGTGCGTGTGTTTCATTTCAAGAAAACCTTGCTAGATTGCTTTTTCTCAGTGGTAAAAATATAGTCAAATTGAAGCTGAAAGCATAAATAATCGTTTGCATGCATTCAGCGAAGTGTTTTCGTAAGAAAATCCAGTGAAAATAGTGTTTCAATTTGGGTTGCCGAAAATAGTCTGTCATGCCGAAGCTGTCATTTCCCCTATAACATGTTGAGTGAAACCGTTTGGCAGCCGAGATATTCAATTTAGTCGCGGATTTGTAATTTTTTGCCCAGTGTGCAGTGTTGTAACAGGTTGTATTGGCTATCAAAAGCACCAGCAAACGCACCGAGAAACGTTAATCCAAGCGAGTTATTAACAAAAGAGAAAATCGATGAAGAGAACCGATCATCG